CGAATGCCATCTCGCATTCTGAAATTTCAGTCTCCTCTTTCTAGTCTTGTTCGTATCTTCCCTTCCTTCCGAGGTGTCTCCTCCTTACCTCTCAAGTTATTTGGTTGTGTTGTATTTGTCCATATTCCCTCCCATCAACGGTCTAAGCTTGATCCTAAGTCTCTCCAGTGTGTCTTTATTGGTTATTCTCCTACTCAACGTGGCTATAAGTGTTATTCACCCTCTCTTCGTAAGGTCTTTGTCTCTATGGATGTCACTTTTTCTGAGAATGACCCTTTCTTCCCCTCGACTTCTCTTCAGGGGGAGTCTATAGGAGTAGATGAAGATCAGTCATGGGAACCTATTAATGCCACAGTATTACCTCTACTTTTGGAAACAGGGGGAGCTACAGAATCCTCACCATCAGGAGCCTCCTCAAAATGGGGACAAGATTATAGCAGGCGAAAGCCTCCTCAAAGTGTGAATAACCCAGAGCCTCTACACTGCCAGGATTCTGAACCATGTTCTAGTTCCAGCACCCCAATACTTGAGTGTCATGGTGAAAATGATCTACACTTGCCCATTGCTCTCAGAAAAGGTACTCGATCTTGTACTACTCATCCTATTTCTAATCATATTTCATATGGAAAGTTGTCCCCAGGGTTTCGTGCTTTCAATACTATGTTGGATAGTACAAAGATACCGAGAAATATACATGAGGCTCTCAATGATAAAAAATGGAGGGATGCTGTCTTTGAAGAAATGAATGCTTTAGAAAGAAATGGAACTTGGGAGATAGTGACCCTACCCAAAGGAAAAAAGGCAGTAGGATGCAAATGGGTGTTTACAATAAAATTCAATGCAGATAATAGCATCAACAGATACAAGGCAAGATTGGTTGCAAAGGGTTTCACTCAGACTCATGGGATAGATTATCATGAGACTTTTGCTCCGGTTGCTAAAGTCAATACCATCCGAGTTCTCTTATCTCTTGCTGCCAATCTAGATTGGCCTCTGCAACAGTTAGATGTGAAGAATGCATTCCTAAATGGTGACTTACATGAAGAAGTCTATATGGATCCTCCACCTGGTTTTGAAAGGGGAAATGAATCAGTGTGTAAACTAAAAAAGTCTCTATATGGATTGAAACAGTCTCCTAGAGAATGGTTCGACAAATTCACACAAGCAGTCAAAAGAAGAGGCTTCATTCAAGCACAGACTGATCATACTCTCTTCCACAAACACTCTAAGGATGGTAAAATTGCTATTCTTATTGTATATGTGGATGATATAATTCTTACAGGTGATGATATTGAGGAATTGAACACCTTGAAGAAATTTCTAGCAGCTCAATTTGAACTCAAAGACCTTGGCACTCTCAAATATTTCCTTGGTATGGAAGTTGCTAGGAGCAAAACAGGCATCACTCTAACACAAAAGAAATATGTTCTAGATCTTTTGTTGGAAACAAGAATGTTAGGGTGTAAACCTGCTGAGACACCTGTGGAACCTAATACCAAGTTAGGTATTGAAGATGGGAATGAGGTGGATAAAGAACAATATCAGCGATTGGTTGGTAAACTAATCTACTTATCTCATACGCGTCCTGACATTGCCTTTGCGGTGAGTATGATTAGTCAATTCATGCACTCACCCAAGGAGAAGCATCTTAGTGCAGTCTATAGGGTGCTTAGATACCTCAAGAATACTCCAGGAAGAGGATTATTCTTTAAAAAGGGGTATAAAAGGACAATTGAAATCTACACTGATGCAGATTGGGCAGGCTCATCAGTAGACAGAAGATCTACCTCAGGCTATTGCACCTATGTGTGGGGAAATCTTGTTACTTGGAGAAGCAAAAAGCAAACAGTGGTTGCAAGAAGTAGTGCTGAAGCAGAATTTCGAGCTTTAGCTCATGGAGTTTGTGAAGGAATCTGGTTGAGAAGACTTCTTCAAGAGTTGAAGATTTCATATTCCCTACCAATAAAACTATATTGTGACAACAAGGCAGCTGTTAGCATTGCTCAAAATCCTGTGCATCATGATCGAACAAAGCACGTGGAAGTTGATCGTCACTTCATCAAAGAAAAATTAGATGATGGAAGTGTGCATTTGATATATGTTCCAACCAAAGAGCAAACGGCAGATGTCCTTACCAAGGGCCTACACCGTCCAGCATTCGAAGACTTGATTGGCAAGTTGGGAATGATCAATATTTACCTCCCAACTTGAGGGGGAGTGTAGAAAATTAGAATTCAAACATGTTTCCGTTTTTATTTCCTATTAATTAGGATTGATTATGATTGATTAGGATTGATTATGATTGATTAGGATTAATTGTGATTGATTAGAATTGATTGTGATTAGGATTGTGATAAGATTGATTAGTCATCGCTTAGTCATTCTTAGCGATTCTTTCTTGTATAAATACTCACTCATGTAATTTATTCAATATCAATATACAAAAACTTCTTTTCAATAATAATATTTAATTGTATATTTTATTTGAATACTTGTTCATTTGTTTGTTTTTAAATATAATTGGTCTCATGTTTGTTTTTTTAATCAAGTTCAAATTAAATACCTTTCAAGAAAGAGTTTAATTAATAAAATCAATGAAAAAATTTCCACCAAGAATTGTATTGTAATAATTTTTTATTCAATGTACACTAATTTATTTACGAAATAGAGGTATTTCTACTAAGGAATATTATATATCTTTCATAATTATAATTTTTACTAGATTTGTTGTTTTAAATTTTTTTGAAGAACAGGCATTCGGTTGAAACCATAGTGAAGACAGTTTTATTTTTTAGTCATGTTGATTCAATTTTTTATGAAAAAGAATTTAGTAACAATTTCTTCTTTAATTTAATGACCTGTGACTCAAGTCAATTAAACAATATAAAAGTCAAAATGCATGAGAATGTTTCACACGACAGATAATATCCAATTAATTCATTACAGATGTTTTACGACATAAATTTTATTTTGTAATCTTCTAATGTTTTTTTTTTTTTAGTTTTCTAACTTATTCATTTTTCGGACTATATTTGATTTGAGAATTTGTCAGACCTTATTAAAGGGGGCAGTTCCTCAAATCTTTTTCTCCATTCTGAAGATTTGAAACGGAAACATCTGGTACATTATTGTTAAAATCTCGATTTATCATTACGATTTTACGTTTTTACGATTTTTTTTATCCAAACAATTTTACTAATATTCTAAACGCTTTTACGTTTTTACGATTATTTTACATTACGATTTTATGTTTTATGAATTTTTAATCCCCTTCCGATTTTACTTAAGATCTCGATTTTAACAACATTGCTCTGTTAGACTCTTATTATATGTGGCAAGGATATTTGGTCGTAATCTTCTATTGGAATACTTCCTTTTCTTGTAATGATATGAACGCTCTAACTTCCAAGAAAATTTGACCAATAAATCTTAAATTAAATCTTAGCCGAAAACTTTCAGGAAAAAAAAATTATTTGAAAGAAAAATTATGGATTCGAATTCGAAAACAGTCTCTTTGTTATCGTCTAAATCTTACCTGTACTCTCGCAAATAAGGAACTTTCGACTTTATTTATACAGAAAAATATTTCTGCACTTAATGCAGATAAATTATCTGAATTTACTTCTAAAACGACATCGTTTTGGGATTGAAAGATTAGAAAATTATAATTATAAAGACTATAATAACCCTGAAATAAATTAAAATTACAAAAGCATCATATTTTCACCCCAAAACGACGTCGTATTAAAATTACTTATATTAAAAAAGTAAAAAAAACCTTAAAAAGGCCCATACTATATGTCACGGTTTTTTCGGCAGTGGTTTACTGCGATGCACGGACACACAGTATTTTGAAAAAAATACGTGTCGGACACGCTCCGACAGGTTCCGACACGCGTCCGACACACGGTTAATATTTTAGGACCCGCAGTCAATGTTTCGACACGTTTTTTCGACACAGAGTTAACTTTTTTCGACACGTGGTCAACGCTTCGACACGCATCCGACACGTTTTTTTAGAGATAAATTTTATTTTATTAACTAAACATAAAAAAATAATTTCTAAATCAATTTTTTTCTGTTATGAAATTTGACATAAAAAATTAACAAGGTATAAAAAATTATTTATATTTATATTTATGTTATAAAATTTGAAAATTTGATTGGTTATATGACTTATTATGAGCTGTTATATGTATCAAATATAAATTATATTATATATATTAAAAATATTATTTAATATCAAAACGTGTCCCAACGTGTCGAAATATGACATTTTTTAGAATTTACGTGTCGACGAGTCGTGTCATGTTGTATCGCCTGTCCCATGTAAGTATCAGTGTCGGTGCATCATAGGTGGTTTATATTCACGCGGGAGATTGAGTGTAATTATCTGAGCTGATAATTTGATATTAATTATACTTCAAAAAAATTCCATTTTATACAATTTTGTTGGTACATATATTAATTATAGCTCAAAATTTGGAAACTAGGATATTAATTAACCAAATATAAAATTGTTATTATTTATAACTCAAAAACAGGAAACTAGAATATTACCCGTAATTATCAAATTGATATCAATTATAACGGAAAAAGTAATTATCAATTTACCAAATGATAGTATCTCAGTTGACACATCAATTTACCAAATAATAGTATCTCAGTTGACACATGAGAGCTGAGCATGTAAGTGTTTGATCCTTCCCAGTACTATATTTGAGGGATATTTAAAGCCTTAATCCTAGACCCGCCCCGAACAGGATTGTCTGTCTCCCGTGGAAGATACACGTGGTTTATCCAAAAAAAAAAAGTAATTCTCAATTTGATATCCATCATAACTATAAAAAGGAAAATATCCATCAAAGTATTTATCATCACGTGATTATATCAAACCTAATATATATATACGTAGCTAGCTTTCTTGTGGCTTTCTTCCACATTGTTCTTCGGTTCTCTTTCGTTCTTTCTTATTGTATATGCAAATTATCAAAGATTCGATGGCTCCTACTTCTTGCTCAAGGAATGAGTTCAACCCCACCGATGATGAACTCATTCAATTGTTTCTTTACAATAAGATCAATGGGAACCCATTGCCTAAAGATGTTACTATTCTTGAATATGACTTATTTGGTATAAAGAACCCTTGGGAGATTTGGGAAGACTTTGCAGGTTCACATTCTTATCATGGAACTGACCTTTATTTCTTCACCACCCCAAAGAAAAAGTTCTCCACTTGGTCACGCTCGGTTCGCACCATTGAGTGTGGTTCATGGGAAGGTGAAGACAGTGGAAAAATTGTTGTGGCTAATGGCACGAAGCAATGTGTTGGGGTAAAGAGACGTTTACGTTTTGAAAAGAGTGGCACCGACAATGATGGTGCTTGGATCTTGCATGAATATAGCATTGATTCATCATTGTTAAACAATTCATCTGTAAGCACTCTACTTACTCCATTGTTGTTATTTGTATCATTGTATTCTATATTAACATTTTTCTTTCAAGAATCTTGATCTTGTTCGATATTATAAACTATAAAGTTTAAATTGATTATTGTATATATCTTGCATGTAGGCCAACAATTATGTTCTATGCAGGTTAAGAAAGAATATACGACATGATGATTATAACAAAAAGAATTTAAATAGAACTAGGCAAGAAGAGATCAAGGTGACCCAACAAAGGAAGAGAGTTGTTCTTGGACTTCGAGCTCCCACCGCATATGTAAGTATTAATTGCGCTATATTTGTTAAATTGAAGGAAATTTGAATTAAATTTAAATATTTAGATGTAAAAGTATATGAAAGTTAATGGGGCATCATTAGTTAATTTATAAAATTTAAAAATATATATAAAAAGAGAACATTTTAATACAAAAAAAGAGAGAAAATTTTAAAATCATAAAGTAAATAATGGTGTGCGTTATTCTTTTAAGGGTTTTGATTTCACAGTTTAGTGATTCAGAACATAATTTATATACTTTGATCACACAACTCTTTAATATTGTTTTCTTGCTTTCTCTTTGGTAGGTCGATAGGAATGTTTGTTCGGGGGAAGACATTCATCAAGAACCAAGAAAACAAGTTGAATGTGGAGACAAGAGAACCAAAGAGGTTATGATTTCCGCAAGAACTGAGTTGGTATATAAGGAAGACGAAGATGATGATCTCACCATGATTTGGCCAGAGTTATTTTCGTTGCAGTTGAGAAAGGCTAATGGAGGCTTAGTCCAAGAGAAAGAGATCCAAATGCTTCCCAATACATTTTACTATGAGTTGTTGTTGGAGAGGTTACCGCCATTCTACATATGATTATTCAAGGGTCTTGTGCCCGTTATATATTATATTTTTAAAGGTCTTATACGAATTGCTTTTTGTTTTTACGGGGCTTGACACGTGCTACTTTAATTTAACTTTTTTGAGGTCTTGTTGTACCACACTACTTTTCATTGTTAAGCGTTTCACACCCACCAGTTTTAGTTCTAAAATGTCTTGCAGCTATTGCTTTTGATTTGCACGATCTTGCAACCATTAACCCTTACCTTTTTTTCCTTTTTCATTTTACACTCATTAATTGTTGTAACTTTCTTGACTTGGACCTCAATACCTTTTTACATATTGTTACTTCTCTGAGACTAATTTGAATCCAATACATTTGCTAATTTGCTTTTCATTTATTTTTATTGAAAATCGAAGGCGACAATTTTATAGATCTAAATTTGTCCTAAGATTCGTAATGAACTTTGTTTATGTTTGATCCAAGAATCGAGAATGTTCAACCGTTGGTATTTTATATTGTGGATTAGTACGCCCGCCTTAGTCTATGGAAAAGATATTGTAAGGATAACGAATCACTCTGTATAATTATATTGATATATAACAGAAAACGTGTGATGTGTACACAATAACAAGTTAAAGAGTTAGAAGTTCATATGTATATATGAGAGGCTTAACTCTTTATTTATTGAATCATTATTGTAATTGTCTCTTTTAGCAAAAGTTGTTATTTTATTATAAAGTTTGTATTTCAATTTTTTACCAAAAAAAAAAGTTTGTATTTCAATTTTATTTTATTGTTTACACAATTCAAAGTTATAAGTTATTTTCAAATTCTAATGAAAAAGATCAATGTCAATTATACTTTTAAAAATCCCACCAGTTAGTTTTTAAATTAGTCATATAACAAATTATGAATTTGATTAATTGATAAAAAAATAATTAAGCTTTTTATTTTATATGATTCTGATATTGATATTAATTATAACGAAAAAAATAAGAAACTGCAATAAAATAAGATATCAAAGTTAATTATTAAATTAATATTGATTACAACTAAAAGAAATGCTATAATAATACGAGAATCATAATATTTATTATCAACTCTATGGACTGTAGGTATTATTAATTACTATTATTGACCATGCCAACTACCCTTGGTATGACGTATAAGGCATGATAATATAAGTTTATACTATACGTTATGACATTTTCAGTTGTTTGGCGTGACTATCGTATAGTATAAGCTTATACAGCATAATCCCTTAATACATCAAAACGATGTATAACTTAATCCGGCCTAAGGGTGAGGGATAAGGCCTGATAAGAGATTGATGTATTAACATCGTTGACCAATGTAATTCTCAAAAATTAATATATTACTTTAATATTAATCTATTAAAATAAAAATTAATCTTTCAATATATTAATTTTTAAAATATTGAATATTTTTTTTTTATAAAAATTAATTTATATTTTGAACACACTGATCAATAAATTTTTATAAAAATTAATATCATATGATATTTTTTTGAATAATTATATAAGTTCTTTATTAAAGGATATTTTTATTAAAAATATTTATTTTTATCATATATAGTATTATACAGTGCATTACCAAGTACTAGATGATATTATCTTATACAATATATTATTTTATACAATACCGTGCCAAATGCTGGATAGTATTAAAATTCAATCAGGCCTTATACTATCAGGTCTTATACTATCAGGCCTTATCCTATATTATGTACCAATCAGACCTTATACTATTAAGTCTTATACTATCATACTTTATCTTTCGGTATGCTGGAATTTTGCTAAAGAAGGAATTTCAATAGAATATAATAATGGATATAAGCAATTGATTGGTCAGAGAATTTGATTCAAATTGTCATACTTATTTGGCTATTAAATCGGGACCAATTGATTGGAGTTGCGAAATGTTGATTGATTTTTCATAAAAATATTTCTGCAGTTACTGCATTTATTCTCAAAATGACATCGTTTTAGAATTGAAAAATTATAATTATAAAGATTATAATAATTCTGAAATAAATTAAAATTACAAAAATACCATGATTTCCGTCCAAAAACAATGTCATATTAAATTTACTGCAGATAACTTATCTACAGTAATCGCAAAAAAAAAACAAAACCTTGATTTTTAATATAAGAGGAAGATATGTCCTTGATTTCCAAGATATTTTACAAGGGATTGTTTTCTCAGGTGTAGACGACGCACTACGCGAAATTTGTGATTTAACGGCGGTTGATCTAGGTCGATTATAGATAACGCCACTGATTAAGTTTATAAAAGGATGACAACGTGGGTTAATTACACTACAAGAAAAAGCGGTCAATTTATATGTTTTAAAAAATTGAAAAATAATAAATTTTATTATGCAATTAAAAATGAATAGCATAGCTAAACGACACAACAATTATTCTCTCGCTCTTTCCTCTCTCAAATTCTCAGCCCTCTTTCTTCTTTCTTCATTCTCAAATTCTCATAGCACGCATTAGCCTTTTTTAATTCTGATTTCTTCATTTTTTTTCCTCCTAGGATTCTAATTAATGTTTCATTCTAAGTTCTTCATTTCTTCACCTTTCTTTCCTGCTAGGGTTTGGATCTGTGGATAGTTCTATCATACTTTAATAAATTTGGCTTGTTTGTTTTATTTTTTCGAGATCCCCATTTTCTCCGAAGCAAGCAAATGGCTAAGGGTCCTGGTCTCTACTCTGACATCGGCAAGAAAGCCAAGGGTACTCTCTCTCTCTCTCTGTATGCTTGTGGTGTTGGATTTTTTAATTTAATTTTTTTTTGTGTGCTTTTATTTAACTTGACATAAATTTTTATGGTTTTTTTTTTTTTTGCTGTAGATCTTCTGTTCAAGGACTACCACAGTGACCAGAAGTTCACCATCACCACCTACTCACCCACTGGAGTTGTGAGTTTTTTTTTTTAATTTTTTTTCCATTTTCATTAAATTTTTGCAGCACAATGCATGGCATGGGTATTATAATGTTGGTAAATCAAGGAGCTACTTGAAGTAAGCTCGAGGATTTTGTTGGAAGATTCGTAAGGTCTCTTATGTATATCTTGATTGCGAGAAAAATTTGTTATCAATTTTTTAAATTAACAAATTTGTTTTGGGTATGTATTATGACAACAATGTAAGCAGATCCTGTTAAGCAAAAATTTGTTTTGGATAAAGAAAAAACGAAAAATTTGTTTTCTGTCCCGTACCTTGTTTTGGTTTATAAATTCTAGTTTCTTAGTAGGTGTAATATGTAGGAAAAAAATCATACAATATCGACTTCTCTTGCCCTCTTCATTTTATACTCTCAGAATCTGCAATTGAATTTATTCCTGGTTGAATGGAGTTTCTTCTTTATAGGTGTAAACATTTTTATGTTTGGCTTTTGCTTAAGAAGTTGTGATTATAAAGAATCTGTCTTAAGCATAATAGCTTACACAAGCAAATGTCGGTAATTTTGATTTGCTGTGTATATCTAATGCTGCTTGGTGTAATATTTTGTAATGGTCTGAAGTGTGTTTTATACTTTTATTGTTTAGTCTCTAAGCTTCTTGTTTGGACTCTGTTCCAGCCAAAACCGTAGGTACAACATTTCAACATCGTACAAGATTTAGAAAGATTTATTTTTGAATTATCTTGAAGTTTGTTGTGTCCATATGTTGCGTTCAAACCATTATGTTATATATGAATTGAGTCTTCAGAAGTTCTTTTTAACCTATTTTATTTTTCATGTTTTTGTAAAACTGCTCTGTTGATGCTATTGTCTTTTACTAGTTGTACGATTAATCCTGGTGAGAATGAAGTATTAGTTCGATATGCTTTGGATAAATACAAATACCTGTCATTGGCGCCTCAGGTTTGATGCTAATTCTTTGCCTTCTCAGTCTCCTATTTTATTCTTTCAATTGATTAGGCTTCAATAATCCTAAGGCTGAATTATTATTATTTTCAAATTGGATTGATATATGTAATTAAGCGAATGTTGATTCTTAAACGTTCTTATAAGATAGAAAAGTATTGAGTATAAACAAGTTTTTGATGTTTAGCTTGCCTGTTATGAATTAGTAGTTCACATAAATTAGTAGTTCTCAGATTTGCTACTTGATTATTTCCAGCACCCAAGAATTGGAGGACCTGGTCTGGTTGGTAGCTGTGAATTTCCTGATGGATATGTAGAGTAAGTATTTTCATCCATTTGTCCGTGATTGTGCATCTATTTCTCTAACTCATCTGTGACGCTGCGTTGTTTGAGATTTAACTTACAAAATATTTGTAGTTGTTTCTGAGGATATAGCTTTCATATAACATACTCTGACACTCTTTTCTACAATCTCTCTATTATTAGGTAAAATTTGATGCTAGTCCCACTAAATAACCTGGGCCTACTCTTTATTAGTGGGGCCAGTATGAGATTTCTTCCGTAAAAGAGACAATATTGAGAAGTGTCAAACAATGTGCTGCTGGTATTTTTCTTAATCGAAAAATAAAATAAAATTGATTTCAGTGCCAATTTCTGGTACCACGACATCATCTTATTTATTTTTTCTATACAGGGAGTGGTTACAACCTGGGGAGGAAGACCTTGTTCAGAGGTTTGATCCATCATCTCCCCTTGATACCTTTGGATTTTTCATAGCTAAATTTTTCTATACAATTGGATTTTTCTATACAGTATAGTAAACTTTCTTTGAATTTTTAAAGAGAAAGAAAGGGGCCAGGATTTTTAAAGTGAAATATTGTCGTTTTGCCGCTTGACTTTAAAAATAATAAATGCTTTTCCTATCATCGTCAAATTAACTTACCAATTCGGCCATTTAGATTTAGTTGAACATATGATTGTGTATAATTATTCATGCTAGAGGGAAAATCTCAAATAAGGGACACATTGATATATTTGATTGTTAAAAGAACAAAATTGGGTACATGTTAATGAATGTCAGGATTTTTTATGCTGAAACCCTTTCCTTTTCAAATTTTCAAAAGTGGACTGGCTTCCTTGCTAAATATTTAAATATTTGAGAACCATACACCAAAACCAGTGATTAAAGTCGGTATTTTCACGTCATTTTGAAAAGGTAAAGCATAATCATTTCAGGTATTAATGTGCAATTAATACCTGATTAGCTATATGATTTTGACTCTTGTACGCTTGATTATTTTATAGCATAATCATTTCAGGTATTAATGTGCAATTAATACCTGATTAGATATATGATTTTGACCCTTATACGCTTGATTATTTTATAGCATAGTCATTTCAGGTATTAATGTGCAAGCTTTGGATCCTGTCAGATACGCGGTTTACTTCAAAAGGTAAAGCACATAAAAATCAATAATTTAAATCATTATATCATCATTTTTATGTTTTCTTGATTCTTTTTTATAAATTTCTACTTTTATGTATTTTTTATTTTTATCATTTTTATAATTTTAGTATTTTTCTTTTAACTAAGAAGAATTCACTATTTTCGTTTGTTTTATCATTTGTGCCTTGATGAACATGTATCTTCTCTGTGTAACTGTTGTTGCAACTAGTTGGTTTAAATCTGATTTTAGTCAGATGTTTAATTTCCAATTGGCTTATATCTATGCACTGATGCTTTCCCCATTCAATGGTAAAAACATTGTTTCAGATTTGAGGGAACCTTTCAATCTTCAAAAGGGTTGGCTTTTGTGGGCAGGAGCTGGACTTGTTGGTGCCCTGCTTGCCGTTGCATTGACAGGAGCTGCTTTGTCCTTCTTTAATGGAGAAACCCCAGAGAGAGAGGTTAATAATTTATTTTTTAAATTTCTCTTTCTCCCGCCTCTGCGAAAAATGGTAAGTTAGGGTTCTTGCTTATTCTCTTTCTCTTTCTTTTTCTCCTCGTCGCTTTTCAACAACAACTATTCCAGTTTTGGATTGATTGTCTTCTTTGACACTTTGAAATTCCTTATCTAATTTTTTTGTTTCTTTTTTAATTATTATTATTTTTTTAAATTTAATGTTCGAATTACAGAGTGATATAAGGAAATGGTTCATGAAATCACATGACAAGGAAAAAAATGCTGGTGGCTCCAAGCCTTCTAATCAAGCGAAGTCTTCCCCTGATAAACCCCAACCGGCGAAAACGGTGAGTGTTGTTACGTTTTTTTAATTTTCTTTCTTTTGTAATTCACGTTGATGATTTTTTTATTTTTTTTTAAAAATTGTTTTTTAAATGCATTGTGTCTGTGAAGTTAGAGTCTAGGTTTATGTAAATTTTATTTTTTGTAAATTTTAACTCAATTTTCCATTCAAGAGCTATATGTGAAAACTTAAAAGATAATTTTCTCATGTCAACCATTTAAAATGATTATTATACTATTTTTGATTGTTTTATTTAAAATGACAAACTTATGTCTTTTTAAAATATAATAAAAAACCTGAAATTGGACTCTGTCTTGAGATTAGGCTGCATGATAAACCAATTCAGGATCTAGGCCCATCTTAAAAGGTGGACTCAGTTGAGTCCAAAAATCACATATATAAAAACCATATGAGATCATATAATAAAAAAAGGACAAAAAAACATACATTCCATATACTTTTATGTAACACATATCACATTGATAAAAGAGAATCCAACAAGTAACTAACTTCACGAAAAGCCAGCACACGATGTGAATGATAAAAACTAGTTTAGTTTTATTAGTAGTGCAAATGGCAAAAAGCCCACTCACTAAATTAATGAGAACCATGATCTGTTTGTTCAATGAAATATTTAATGAAAAATAATGCTGCATACAAGAATTGCTCTCATTTCACCCTCCCTGGTTAGGGTTTAATTGGAAGTGGAGCTAGCCTGGATTTGTGAGTCATTTTACCGCTGCCAATTAACATTAACTAGTTACAAAGTCCAACCTATGACAAAAAAGGGAAGCTCAAAAAACTGCATCAAATTTTAATACTCCTTTCTTACTTGATCAATTTGACATGGACTAAATAGTTTTTAATTCTAGGATTCATTTAAAGGAAAATTAACTCTCTTTTATGGTCAAACCCCAACCAGTTTGTGTGTGTATGTGTGTGACATCAATATGTGTGTGTGTGACATCAATATTTCTCCTCTGCCCTTCTCCCAAAAAAATAAAATAAAAAGGAATCCTAAAAAAATAAAATAAAAAGGAATATATCCATAGGTATGCTTGAGGAGCATATTATTCTACTTTGGCTTCTGATATTTCTTGTCTTAGTATCCTAAAATACGTGATAATTTTAATGTTGGTCATTATCCTATGCACAGATAAATACTAAGTTTTGTTATTTATATCAGTTTCTAATATTTTCTCACTTGGGCTTATGATGTTTCCTTGCCTGTCGTCTGTTGCCTGATGTGGCTGTTTGTAAAATATAATTAATTTTGTGATGGATTTGTATTGTATTGGATTACCTTGTTTCTTATCTCTATCTGCCTTTATTTCAGAGTCAAGGATCATTTTGAAAATTATAAAATCTGTCTTAAAGAAATTATGTGAGAAGATGGAGGCCAAGGAGTTGAATTTGGTATGGAGTTGCTTATATAAGGAAGTAAGAAATTAAAGGCTTATGTACTTATATTTGACTGATACAGCCACAGTAGATTTTCAAGTATAACACTCGTGTCCACTATAATATGCAGATAATATTATTTAATAATCATTGTAGGCAGATTATAACTTTGTTTTCTTTTGTTGGAAAGGGTTAGGGTCAGGGTCTACAAAAACGACTTAGAAAAAGGGGTGAGACAGAAAACAAATGTAGAACCAGTTGAGCGCTGATAGTTAATCTACGTATCTGCTTAGAGCAATGACAAAATTAGGATTTTTTGTGAGGGAATGAAATATATTTGTTTTAATATTCATAATTGAAATAAAAGATTGTACAATCAAATAAAGATTCTCACAATATATAAATCACACTACATAAATTACACTATATTAGAATATAAAGTATCAAATCAATTGGATTGACTATAAAATAAAATTAATTTTATATATTATATACTGATATTGATATATAGATACATATAAATATATTTAATATTGACCAGAAAATAAATCAAATTTTAACACATTTAGATTTACTTCATTACTAATTTTTAAATTCAAATTTTATTCTTCTTGTCTTATTTATTTATTATATATTCATATTCAGATATACATCAAATCTATTTGAAATTGTAAAGAAATAAATTTTTTGATCATTTTTAATTTTTTTAATCATAATTCAATCATTCATAACTTATTTATTTAATTATTTATTTTTTCAACTTATTTAATAATATTACCTTTTAACAAACTTAGGTAAAAATATAACAAATAACTCTTGCAACAATATTAACTAATTGGAAACTAGGATATTAATTGATTGTCCATTACAATCAAAAAACGGAAACTATGATATCAACGGTAACTATCAAATTGATATCAACTGTAACTGAAATGTAATTACCAAATTGATATCATTATAAAATAAAAAAGGAAACTAGTCTTCGGCTGTGGTTAAGGATACCTTGAGACGAATCAAAAAAAGGAAACTAGTCAACTAAAATAACCACAAGATTCAGAATATTTATGATCGCGTAATTATATCAAACTCACTATATATACAAAGCTTCCTTATGGTTCTCTTCCTCTGTTCATCTACACTGTTTCTCTTACATTCTTTCTAATTTTATATGCAAATTATCAAAGATTCGATGGCTCTTATTTCGTGTTCAAGGAAAGAGTTCAAACCCATCGATGAGGAACTCATCGAATTGTTTCTTTACAATAAGGTCAATGGGAAACCTTTGCCAACGGATGTTTCAATTCTTGAATATGACTTGTATGGTGAAAAGAACCCTTGAGAGATTTGGGAAGCCTTTGGAAGTTCCAACTCTTACGGTGGAACTGATCTTTACTTCTTAACCACTTTAAAGAAAAAGTTTTCCACTGGCTCACGCTTGGTTCGCACCATTGGATGTGGTTCATGGGAAGCTGAAGACCGTGGAAAAAATATTATGGCCAGTGGCACGATGCAATGTATTGGAACAATGAGACGTTTATGATTTGAAAAGAGTGGCACCAACCATGATGGTGCTTGGATCTTGCATGAATATAGAATTGATTCATCCTTGTTAGAAAATCCATCAGTAAGCGCGCTCTGCGTACTCCATCCATTGTTGTTATTTGTATCTTTTTGTATTAAAATTTTTCTTGTTCTCTTTTAAGAATCTTGATCTTTTTCGGTTTTATAAATGTTAATTGAATATCATATCTATCTTGTATGTAGGACGACAATTATGTTTTATGCAGATTTAGAAAAAATCTAAGACATGATCTTCACAAAAAACAAGGTTAGATAAGAACTAGACAAGAAGACATCGTTGTAACCCAACCGAGGAAGAGAGTTGTTCTTGAACTCGAAGCTTTCCACCGTATATGTAAGTATTTTGCTATATTTGTGTTAAATTAAACGAAAATTTTAATAAAATTTAAAATATTTAGATAAAAACATATTTGAAAGTTTAAGGGGTGTTATATATTTAATTTAGATAAAATTTTAAAATATATATTAAAAGAGAAAATTTTAGAATTATAAAGAAAGTTAAGAATGGTGAGTTATTCTTTTTCAGGATTTAGATTTTTTTTTTTTTTTTTACAATTTAGTGATTCTGATCATAATTTATACAAGTTGATCACACATCTCTTTAAACTTGTTTTCTTGCATTCTCTGTTTTAGGAAGATAGGAATGTTAGTTCAGTGGAAGACATTCATCACAAACCAAGAAACCAAGTTGATTGTGGAGACAAGAGGATGAAGCTAGAGGTGGAGATTTTCAATAGAACTGGGTTCGTATATAAGGAACAAGAAGATGATGATCTCCCCATGACTTGGCCACAGTTATTTTCATTGCAGATGAGAGAGGCTAACGGAGTCTTCGTCCAAAAAGTGATTTTTTTTACATTTTAGTGATTCTGAGCATAATTTATACAAGTTGATCACACATCTCTTTAAAATTGTTTTCTTGCATTCTCTGTTTTTGGTCGATAGGAATGTTAGTTCAGTGGAAGAAATTCATCACGAACCAAGAAACCAAGTTGATTGTGGAGACAAGAGGATGAAGGAGGTGGAGATTTCCAATAGAACTGAGTTCGTACATGAGGAACAAGAAGATGATGATCTCACCATGACTTGGTTAGAGTTATTTTCGTTGCAGATGAGAGAGGCTAACAGAGTCTTAGTCCAAGAAGTGATTTTTTTTACATTTTAGTGATTTTGAGCATAATTTATACAAGTTGATCACACATCTCTTTAAAATTGTTTTCTTGCATTCTCCGTTTTAGGTCGACAGGAATGCTAGTTCAGTGGAAGACATTCATCACGAACCAAGAAACCAAGTTGATTGTGGAGACAAGAGGATGAAGAAGGTGGAGATTTCCAATAGAACTGAGTTCGTACATGAGGAACAAGAAGATGATGATCTCACCATGACTTGGCCAGAGTTATTTTCGTTGCAGATGAGAGAGGCTAACGGAGTCTTAGTTTAAGAAGTGATTCTTTTGACATATTAGTGATTCTGAACATAATTTATACAAGTTGATCACACATCTCTTTAAAATTGTTTTCTTGCATTCTCTGTTTTAGGTCGATAGGAATACTAGTGCATTGGAAGACATTCATCACGAACAAAGAAACCAAGTTGATTGTGGAGACAAGAGGATGAAGGAGGTGGAGATTTCCAATAGAACTGAGTTTGTACATGAGGAACAAGAAGATGATGATCTCACCATGACTTGGCCAGAGTTATTTTCGTTGCAGATGAGAGAGGCTAACGGAGTCTTAGTCCAAGAAGTGATTTTTTTTACATTTTAGTGATTCTGAGCATAATTTATACAAGTTGATCACACATCTCTTTAAAATTGTTTTCTTGCATTCTATGTTTTAGGTCGATAGGAATACTAGTTCATTGGAAGACATTCATCACGAACCAAGAAACCAAGTTGATTGTGGAGACAAGAGGATGAAGGAGGTGGAGATTTCCATTAGAACTGAGTTCGTACATGAGGAACAAGAAGATGATGATCTCACCATGACTTGGCCAAAGTTATTTTCGTTGCAGATGATAGAGGCTAACAGAGTCTTAGTCCAAGAAGTGATTTTTTTTTTACATTTTACTGATTTTGAGCATAATTTATACAAGTTGATCACACATCTCTTTAAAATTGTTTTCTTGCATTCTCTGTTTTAGGTCGATAGGAATGTTAGTTCAGTGGAAGACATTCATGACGAACCAAGAAATCAAGTTGATTGTGGAGACAAGAGGATGAAGGAGGTGGAGATTTTCAATACAACTGAGTTCGTACATGAGGAACAAGATGATGATCTCACCATGACTTGGCTAGAGTTATTTTCGTTGCAGATGAGAGAGGCTAACAGAGTCTTAGTCCAAAAAGTGATTTTTTTTACGTTTTAGTGATTTTGAGCATAATTTATACAAGTTGATCACACATCTCTTTATAATTGTTTTCTTGCATTCTTTGTTTTAGGTCGATAGGAATTCTAGTTCAGTGGAAGACATTCATCACGAACCAAGAAACCAAGTTGATTGTGGTGACAAGAGGATGAAGGAGTTGTGGATTTCCAATAGAACTGAGTTCGTACATGAGGAACAAGAAGATGATGATCTCACAATGACTTGGCTAGAGTTATTTTCGTTGCAGATGAGAGAGGCTAACAGAGTCTTAGTCCAAGAAGTATTTTTTTTACATTTTAGTTATTTTGAGCATAATTTATACAAGTTGATCACACATCTCTTTAAAATTGTTTTCTTGCATTCTCTGTTTTAGGTCGATAGGAATGTTAGTTCAGTGGAAGACATTCATGACGAAACAAGAAACCAAGTTGATTGTGGAGACAAGAGGATGAAGGAGGTGGAGATTTCCAATAGAACTGAGTTCGTACATGAGGAACAAGAAGATGATGATCTCACCATGACTTGGCTAGAGATATTTTCGTTGCAGATGAGAGAGGCTAACAGAGTCTTAGTCCAAGAAGTGATTTTTTTTTACATTTTAGTGATTTTGAGCATAATTTATACAAGTTGATCACACATCTCTTTAAAATTGTTTTCTAGCATTCTCCGTTTTAGGTCGACAGGAATGCTAGTTCAGTGGAAGACATTGATCACGAACCAAGAAACCAAGTTGATTGTGGAGACAAGAGGATGAAGAAGGTGGAGATTTCCAATAGAACTGAGTTCGTACACGAGGAACAAGAAGATGATGATCTCACCATGACTTGGCCAGAGTTATTTTCGTTGCAGATGAGAGAGGCTAACGGAGTCTTAGTATAAGAAGTGATTTTTTTTTACATTTTAGTGATTCTGAACATAATTTATACAAGTTGATCACACATCTGTTTTCTTGCATTCTCTGTTTTAGGTCGATAGGAATACTAGTGCATTGGAAAACATTCATCACGAACCAAGAAACCAAGTTGATTGTGGAGACAAGAGGATGAAGGAGGTGGAGATTTTCAATAGAACTGAGTTTGTACATGAGGAACAAGAAGATGATGATCTCACCATGACTTGGCCAGAGTTATTTTCGTTGCAGATGAGAGAGGCTAACGGAGTCTTAGTCCAAGAAGTTATTTTTTTTACATTTTAGTGATTCTGAGCATAATTTATACAAGTTGATCACACATCTCTTTAAAATTGTTTTCTTGCATTCTCTGTTTTAGGTCGATAGGAATACTAGTTCATTGGAAGACATTCATCACGAACCAAGAAACCAAGTTGATTGTGGAGACAAGAGGATGAAGGAGGTGGAGATTTCCAATAGAACTGAGTTCGTACATGAGGAACAAGAAGATGATGATCTCACCATGACTTGGACAAAGTTATTTTCGTTGTAGTTAATAGAGGCTAACAGAGTCTTAGTCCAAGAAGTGATTTTTTTTTACATTTTACTGATTTTGAGCATAATTTATACAAGTTGATCACACATCTCTTTAAAATTGTTTTCTTGCATTCTCTGTTTTAGGTCGATAGGAATGTTAGTTCAGTGGAAGACATTCATGACGAACCAAGAAATCAAGTTGATTGTGGAGACAAGAGGATGAAGGAGGTGGAGATTTTCAATAGAACTGAGTTCGTACATGAGGAACAAGATGATGATGATCTCACCATGACTTGGCCAGAGTTACTTTCGTTGCAGATGAGAGAGGCTAACGGAGTCTTAGTCCTCATGTACGAACTCAGTTCTATTGGAAATCTCCACCTCCTTCATCCTCTTGTCTCTACAATCAACTTGGTTTCTTGGTTCGTGATGAATGTCTTGCACTGAACTAGCATTCCTATCGACCTAAAACAGAGAATGCAAGAAAACAATTTTAAAGAGATGTGTGATCAACTTGTATAAATTATGCTCACAATCACTAAAATGTAAAAAAAATTACTTCTTGGACTAAGACTCCGTTAGCCTCTCTCATTTGCAATGAAAATAACTCTGACCAAGTCATGGTGAGATCATCATCTTCTTGTTCCTCATTTACGAATCAGTTCTATTGGAAATCTCCACCTCCTTCATCCTCTTGTCTCCACAATCAACTTGGTTTCTTGGTTCGTGATGAATGTCTTCCACTGAACTAGCATTCCTATCGACCTAAAACAGAGAATGCAAGAAAACGATTTTAAAGAGATGTGTGATCAACTTGTATAAATTATGCTCAAAATCACTAAAATGTAAAAAAAATCACTTCTTGGACTAAGACTCCGTTAGCCTCTCTCATCTGCAACGAAAATAACTCTGACCAAGTCATGGTGAGATCATCATCTTCTTGTTCCTCATGTACAAACTCAGTTCTATTGGAAATCTCCACCTCCTTCATCCTCTTGTCTCCACAATCAACTTGGTTTCTTGGTTCGTGATGAATGTCTTCCACTGAACTAGCATTCCTATCGACCTAAAACAGAGAATGCAAGAAAACAATTTTAAAGAGATGTGTGATCAACTTGTATAAATTATGCTCAAAATCACTAAAATGTAAAACAAATCACTTCTTGGACTAAGACTCTGTTAGCCTCTCTCATCTGCAACGAAAATAACTCTGACCAAGTCATGGTGAGATCATCATCTTCTTGTTCCTCATGTACGAACTCAGTTCTATTGGAAATCTCCACCTCCTTCATCCTCTTGTCTCCACAATCAACTTGGTTTCTTGGTTCGTGATGAATGTCTTCCACTGAACTAGCATTCCTATCGTCCTAAAACAGAGAATGCAAGAAAACGATTTTAAAGAGATGTGTGATCAACTTGTATAAATTATGCTCAAAATCACTAAAATGTAAAAAAAATCACTTCTTGGACTAAGACTCTGTTAGCCTCTCTCATCTGCAACGAAAATAACTCTGACCAAGTCATGGTGAGATCATCATCTTCTTGTTCCTCATGTACGAACTCAGTTCTATTGGAAATCTCCACCTCCTTCATCCTCTTGTCTCGACAATCAACTTGGTTTCTTGGTTCGTGATGAATGTCTTCCACTGAACTAGCATTCCTATCGACCTAAAACAGAGAATGCAAGAAAACAATTTTAAAGAGATGTGTGATCAACTTGTATAAATTATGCTCAAACTCACTAAAATGTAAAAAAAAATCACTTCTTGGACTAAGACTCTGTTAGCCTCTCTCATCTGCAACGAAAATAACTCTGACCAAGTCATGGTGAGATCTTCATCTTCTTGTTCCTCATGTACGAACTCAGTTCTATTGGAAATCTCCACCTCCTTCATCCTCTTGTCTCCACAATCAACTTGGTTTCTTGGTTCGTGATGAATGTGTTTCACTGAACTAGCATTCCTATCGACCTAAAACAGAGAATGCAAGAAAACAATTATTAAAAGATGTGTGATCAACTTGTATAAATTATGCTCAAAATCACTAAAATGTAAAAAAAATCACTTCTTGGACTAAGACTCCGTTAGCCTCTCTCATCTGCAACGAAAATAACTATGGCCAAGTCGTGGTGAGATCATCATCTTCTTGTTCCTCATGTACGAACTCAGTTCTATTGGAAATCTCCACCTCCTTCATCCTCTTGTCTCGACAATCAACTTGGTTTCTTGGTTCGTGATGAATGTCTTCCACTGAACTAGAATTACTATCGACCTATAACAGAGAATGCAAGAAAACAATTTTAAAGAGATGTGTGATCAACTTGTATAAATTATGCTCAAAATCGCTAAAATGTAAAAAAAATCACTTCTTGGACTAAGACTCCGTTAGCCTCTCTCATCGGCAACGCAAATAACTATGGCCAAGTCGTGGTGAGATCATCATCTTCTTGTTCCTCATGTACGAACTCAGTTCTATTGGAAATCTCCACCTCCTTCATCCTCTTGTCTCCACAATCAACTTGGTTTCTTGGTTCGTGATGAATGTCTTTCACTGAACTAGCATTCCTATCGACCTAAAACAGAGAATACAAGAAAACAATTTTAAAGAGATGTGTGATCAACTTGTATAAATTATGCTCAAAATCGCTAAAATGTAAAAAAAATCACTTCTTGGACTAAGACTCTGTTAGCCTCTCTCATCTGCAACGAAAATAACTCTGACCAAGTCATGGTGAGATCATCATCTTCTTGTTCCTCAAGTACGAACTCAGTTATATTGGAAATCTCCACCTCCTTCATCCACTTGTCTCCACAATCAACTTGGTTTCTTGGTTCGTGATGAATGTCTTCCACTGAACTAGCATTCCTATCGACCCAAAACAGAGAATGCAAGAAAACAATTTTAAAGAGATGTGTGATCAACTTGTATAAATTATGCTCAAAATCACTAAAATGTAAAAAAAATCACTTCTTGGACTAAGACTCTGTTAGCCTCTCTCATCTGCAACGAAAATAACTCTGACCAAGTCATGGTGAGATCATCATCTTCTTGTTCCTCATGTACGAACTCAGTTCTATTGGAAATCTCCACCTCCTTCATCCTCTTGTCTCCACAATCAACTTGGTTTCTTGGTTCGTGATGAATGTCTTCCACTGAACTAGCATTCCTATCGTCCTAAAACAGAGAATGCAAGAAAACGATTTTAAAGAGATGTGTGATCAACTTGTATAAATTATGCTCAAAATCACTAAAATGTAAAAAAAATCACTTCTTGGACTAAGACTCTGTTAGCCTCTCTCATCTGCAACGAAAATAACTCTGACCAAGTCATGGTGAGATCATCATCTTCTTGTTCCTCATGTACGAACTCAGTTCTATTGGAAATCTCCACCTCCTTCATCCTCTTGTCTCGACAATCAACTTGGTTTCTTGGTTCGTGATGAATGTCTTCCACTGAACTAGCATTCCTATCGACCTAAAACAGAGAATGCAAGAAAACAATTTTAAAGAGATGTGTGATCAACTTGTATAAATTATGCTCAAACTCACTAAAATGTAAAAAAAAATCACTTCTTGGACTAAGACTCTGTTAGCCTCTCTCATCTGCAACGAAAATAACTCTGACCAAGTCATGGTGAGATCTTCATCTTCTTGTTCCTCATGTACGAACTCAGTTCTATTGGAAATCTCCACCTCCTTCATCCTCTTGTCTCCACAATCAACTTGGTTTCTTGGTTCGTGATGAATGTGTTTCACTGAACTAGCATTCCTATCGACCTAAAACAGAGAATGCAAGAAAACAATTATTAAAAGATGTGTGATCAACTTGTATAAATTATGCTCAAAATCACTAAAATGTAAAAAAAATCACTTCTTGGACTAAGACTCCGTTAGCCTCTCTCATCTGCAACGAAAATAACTATGGCCAAGTCGTGGTGAGATCATCATCTTCTTGTTCCTCATGTACGAACTCAGTTCTATTGGAAATCTCCACCTCCTTCATCCTCTTGTCTCCACAATCAACTTGGTTTCTTGGTTCGTGATGAATGTCTTCCACTGAACTAGCATTCCTATCGACCTAAAACAGAGAATGCAAGAAAACAATTTTAAAGAGATGTGTGATCAACTTGTATAAATTATGCTCAAAATCGCTAAAATGTAAAAAAAATCACTTCTTGGACTAAGACTCCGTTAGCCTCTCTCATCGGCAACGAAAATAACTATGGCCAAGTCGTGGTGAGATCATCATCTTCTTGTTCCTCATGTACGAACTCAGTTCTATTGGAAATCTCCACCTCCTTCATCCTCTTGTCTCCACAATCAACTTGGTTTCTTGGTTCGTGATGAATGTCTTCCACTGAACTAGCATTCCTATCGACCTAAAACAGAGAATGCAAGAAAACAATTTTAAAGAGATGTGTGATCAACTTGTATAAATTATGCTCAAAATCGCTAAAATGTAAAAAAAATCACTTCTTGGACTAAGACTCTGTTAGCCTCTCTCATCTGCAACGAAAATAACTCTGACCAAGTCATGGTGAGATCATCATCTTCTTGTTCCTCAAGTACGAACTCAGTTCTATTGGAAATCTCCACCTCCTTCATCCACTTGTCTCCACAATCAACTTGGTTTCTTGGTTCGTGATGAATGTCTTCCACTGAACTAGCATTCCTATCGACCTAAAACAGAGAATGCAAGAAAACAATTTTAAAGAGATGTGTGATCAACTTGTATAAATTATGCTCAAAATCACTAAAATGTAAAAAAAATCACTTCTTGGACTAAGACTCTGTTAGCCTCTCTCATCTGCAACGAAAATAACTCTGACCAAGTCATGGTGAGATCATCATCTTCTTGTTCCTCATGTACGAACTCAGTTCTATTGGAAATCTCCACCTCCTTCATCCTCTTGTCTCCACAATCAACTTGGTTTCTTGGTTCGTGATGAATGTGTTTCACTGAACTAGCATTCCTATCGACCTAAAACAGAGAATGCAAGAAAACAATTATTAAAAGATGTGTGATCAACTTGTATAAATTATGCTCAAAATCACTAAAATGTAAAAAAAATCACTTCTTGGACTAAGACTCCGTTAGCCTCTCTCATCTGCAACGAAAATAACTATGGCCAAGTCGTGGTGAGATCATCATCTTCTTGTTCCTCATGTACGAACTCAGTTCTATTGGAAATCTCCACCTCCTTCATCCTCTTGTCTCCACAATCAACTTGGTTTCTTGGTTCGTGATGAATGTCTTCCACTGAACTAGCATTCCTATCGACCTAAAACAGAGAATGCAAGAAAACAATTTTAAAGAGATGTGTGATCAACTTGTATAAATTATGCTCAAAATCGCTAAAATGTAAAAAAAATCACTTCTTGGACTAAGACTCCGTTAGCCTCTCTCATCGGCAACGAAAATAACTATGGCCAAGTCGTGGTGAGATCATCATCTTCTTGTTCCTCATGTACGAACTCAGTTCTATTGGAAATCTCCACCTCCTTCATCCTCTTGTCTCCACAATCAACTTGGTTTCTTGGTTCGTGATGAATGTCTTCCACTGAACTAGCATTCCTATCGACCTAAAACAGAGAATGCAAGAAAACAATTTTAAAGAGATGTGTGATCAACTTGTATAAATTATGCTCAAAATCGCTAAAATGTAAAAAAAATCACTTCTTGGACTAAGACTACGTTAGCCTCTCTCAACTGCAACGAAAATAACTCTGACCAAGTCATGGTGAGATCATCATCTTCTTGTTCCTCATGTACGAACTCAGTTCTATTGGAAATCTCCACCTCCTTCATCCTCTTGTCTCCACAATCAACTTGGTTTCTTGGTTCGTGATGAATGTGTTTCACTGAACTAGCATTCCTATCGACCTAAAACAGAGAATGCAAGAAAACAATTATTAAAAGATGTGTGATCAACTTGTATAAATTATGCTCAAAATCACTAAAATGTAAAAAAAATCACTTCTTGGACTAAGACTCCGTTAGCCTCTCTCATCTGCAACGAAAATAACTATGGCCAAGTCGTGGTGAGATCATCATCTTCTTGTTCCTCATGTACAAACTCAGTTCTATTGGAAATCTCCACCTCCTTCATCCTCTTGTCTCCACAATCAACTTGGTTTCTTGGTTCGTGATGAATGTCTTCCACTGAACTAGCATTCCTATCGACCTAAAACAGAGAATGCAAGAAAACAATTTTAAAGAGATGTGTGATCAACTTGTATAAATTATGCTCAAAATCGCTAAAATGTAAAAAAAATCACTTCTTGGACTAAGACTCCGTTAGCCTCTCTCATCGGCAACGAAAATAACTATGGCCAAGTCGTGGTGAGATCATCATCTTCTGGTTCCTCATGTACGAACTCAGTTCTATTGAAAATCTCCACCTCCTTCATCCTCTTGTCTCCACAATCAACTTGGTTTCTTGGTTCGTGATGAATGTCTTCCACTGAACTAGCATTCCTATCGACCTAAAACAGAGAATGCAAGAAAACAATTTTAAAGAGATGTGTGATCAACTTGTATAAATTATGCTCAAAATCGCTAAAATGTAAAAAAAAATCACTTCTTGGACTAAGACTACGTTAGCCTCTCTCATCTGCAACGAAAATAACTCTGACCAAGTCATGGTGAGATCATCATCTTCTTGTTCCTCATGTACGAACTCAGTTCTATTGGAAATCTCCACCTCCTTCATCCTCTTGTCTCCACAATCAACTTGGTTTCTTGGTTCGTGATGAATGTCTTCCACTGAACTAGCATTCCTATCGACCTAAAATAGAGAATGCAAGAAAACAATTCTAAAGAGATGTGTGATCAACTTGTATAAATTATGCTCAAAATCACTAAAATGTAAAAAAAAAATCACTTCTTGGACTAAGACTCCGTTAGCCTCTCTCATCTGCAACGAAATAACTCTGGCCAAGTCATGGTGAGATCATCATCTTCTTGTTCCTCATGTACGAACTCAGTTATATTGGAAATCTCCACCTCCTTCATCCTCTTGTCTCCACAATCAACTTGGTTTCTTGGTTCGTGATGAATGTGTTCCACTGAACTAGCATTCCTATCGACATAAAACAGAGAATGCAAGAAAACAATTATTAAAAGATGTGTGATCAACTTGTATAAATTATGCTCAAAATCACTAAAATGTAAAAAAAATCACTTCTTGGACTAAGACTCTGTTAGCCTCTCTCATCTGCAACGAAAATAACTCTGACCAAGTCATGGTGAGATCATCATCTTCTTGTTCCTCATGTACGAACTCAGTTCTATTGGAAATCTCCACCTCCTTCATCCTCTTGACTCCACAATCAACTTGGTTTCTTGGTTCGTGATGAATGTCTTCCACTGAACTAGCATTCCTATCGAGCTAAAACAGAGAATGCAAGAAAACAATTTTAAAGAGATGTGTGATCAACTTGTATAAATTATGCTCAAAATCGCTAAAATGTTAAAAAAATCACTTCTTTGACTAAGACTCCGTTAGCCTCTCTCATCTGCAACGAAAATAACTCTGACCAAGTCATGGTGAGATCATCATCTTCTTGTTCCTCATGTACGAACTCAGTTCTATTGGAAATCTCCACCTCCTTCATCCTCTTGTCTCCACAATCAACTTGGTTTCTTGGTTCGTGATGAATGTCTTCCACTGAACTAGCATTCCTATCGACCTAAAACAGAGAATGCAAGAAAACAATTTTAAAGAGATGTGTGATCAACTTGTATAAATTATGCTCAAACTCACTAAAATGTAAAAAAAAAATCACTTCTTAGACTAAGACTCTGTTAGCCTCTCTCATCTGCAACGAAAATAACTCTGACCAAGTCATGGTGAGATCTTCATCTTCTTGTTCCTCATGTACGAACTCATTTCTATTGGAAATCTCCACCTCCTTCATCCTCTTGTCTCCACAATCAACTTGGTTTCTTGGTTCGTGATGAATGTCTTCCACTGAACTAGCATTCCTATCGACCTAAAACAGAGAATGCAAGAAAACAATTTTAAAGAGATGTGTGATCAACTTGTATAAATTATGCTCAAAATCACTAAAATGTAAAAAAAAAAATCACTTCTTGGACTAAGACTCTGTTAGCCTCTCTCATCTGCAACGAAAATAACTCTTGCCAAGTCATGGTGAGATCATCATCTTCTTGTTCCTCATGTACGAACTCAGTTATATTGGAAATCTCCACCTCCTTCATCCTCTTGTCTCCACAATCAACTTGGTTTCTTGGTTCGTGATGAATGTCTTCCACTGAACTAACATTCCTATCGACCTAAAACAAAGAATACAAGAAAACAATTTTAAAGAGATGTGTGATCAACTTGTATAATTTATGCTCAGAATCACTAAAATGTAAAAACAAGCACTTCCTGGACGAAGACTCTGTTAACCTCTCTCATCTGCAATGAAAATAACTGTGGCCAAGTCATGGTGAGATCATCATCTTCTTGTTCCTTATATACGAACTCAGTTCTATTGGAAATCTCCACCTCCAGCTTCATTCTCTTGTCTCCACAATCAACTTGGTTTCTTGGTTCGTCATGAATGTCTTCCACTGAACTAACATTCCTATCGACCTAAAACAGAGAATGCAAGAAAACAATTTTAAAGAGATGTGTGATCAACTTGTATAAATTATGCTCAGAATCACACGAACATGAGGAATAAGAAGATGAGGATCTCACCATGACTTGGCCAGAGTTATTTTCGCTGCAGATGAGAGAGGCTAATGGAGTCTTAGTCCAAGAAGAAGAGATCCAATTGCTTAACAATACATTTTACCATGAAATTTTATTGGACAGGTTACGCCATCCCACTTATGATTTTCCATTGGTCTTGTTCCTTAAGTTTTTAAGGGTCTTGTACTCTTTGCTTTTTGTTTTTAGGGGCTTAAACATGCTACTATAATTTCTTGTATACTTTTAATTGTTTTGTTTTTACGGGGTTTAAACTTGCTACTTTAATTTCTTGTATACTTTAAATTGTTAAGGATTTTGTAAATAATGATAATAATAATAATAATAACATCCATATTTTGGTTTGTTTGAACTTATAAGTAAGATGGGTTTGGAACTTCCGTGGACAATGACCACCATACGGTATGAATGGATCCTTTCATGTCCCTTCTTAACATGATAATGAAAATTTTTAGTCATTCCACAAATCAATTGATAACACGTTTAATGATAAAGCTCATAAATAACAAAAGATAGCATTGTCATTTTAATTATTGTCTATTGACAATAAATGATTATTTTTTTTTCATATTTTCACATAATATGATCTTGTTAAATAGATACACTAGTTAATCTAGTGGATCCGTATCCCATTAATCTTGTGGGTAAAAAAAGACAAATTTTGGTGCACAAAATTCTTGATTTTTTTCTAAATATTATTGGTTTCATGTTTTTTTTAATCAAAGTTCAAATTAAATACCTTTCATGAAATAGTTTAATTTGTAAAATCCATGAAATAATTTCCACTAAGAATTGTATTGTAACAATTTCATATTCAATGCACAACAATTTATCTACGGAACTGACAGTGGCAGACCTAGGAATTTTTCCTGTGGGGAGCTAAAAATTAAACATTTATTTCTCTCTTCAATTATAATATATGAGAGGCCAAAATATGAAAAATTAAATATTTGTTCCTCTCTTCAACCACAATATGTGGGAGGCCAAAACACCAATCCAGAGAACATAACTCATAAATACCTCTTTTAACTTGTTATAGATAGAAAGAAGAAGACAGAGACATAGAGAGAGGTGGAAGATGTCACAGTAAAATCTACTATCAATTTGAAAAAAATTACACCTTTTCAACCCCTAAAATGAACATTTTTTATGCAAAGAAAACAAAGAAAAAGAGAAGAGAGCAAATGTTTAGATTTCACAAAAAGTATGTACTAATTACTATAATCTAAATAGATAATTAAAAGCAGACCCCTCTCATTTCTTAACCTCTTTTTCTATTTACTCACTGTTAGCTCAACAAGAAAAAATGACAAAGATAAATCAGAAGAGACAAATTACCAAGAAGCACAATCACCAAAACCCTTATGTCCCTCACTTCCCTCTCTGTCACAAATCATCAGAAAAGGAGAGGGATTGAAAGAATAAGGTTCATTCTTTCATAAGACTCTCGGACTTCTTATTTTTATTCATGGATGGGAAGATTTGTGCTAACATCTAAGCATAATAAAAGTTGAAACTGAAGTCGAAATTTAAACTATAATTTAAGGGGGAAGGTTATATTTATAAACTTTTTGTTTAGAAACTCTTACAAACTACACTGTGTCTGACCGTCATACTTTAATCAAGAGTGTATGACTGGTCATATTTAGTGTAATTCGTAAAAAAAATGGTAAACAGATCTTTCCCCATAATTTAATGTTAATTCTATATGCTAATTGTTACCACCAGGTCTGTGCCAACAAACAAGCGCCACGTAGCTAAAAGAATTTGAACTAAGAGAAATCATGTAGCTCTATTGGTGGTCACTGATACTCCCAACACTGTGATGTAATCTTAAATAAACCTATTTTTTGTTAAAGCAAAAAAAGACAATAAAACATTAAATCTTGGATTTGATAATCATGACTTTCTTTTCTCTATCTCTTAACTCTCTCTAAAACTCTCAAACTAAACCAAGAGCTTACTTTTCAATTTGACAAGATCTAATCATGTTACTGTACTCTTTCTCATTCTTTTTTGAGTAAATATCATTTTTGGTCTTCAGCAAAGTTCACGATGCCCGCTTTAGTCCCTAGCAAATAAAAAGACTATTTGTGATCCCTAAGAAATTCAAAATGGACTCATTTAGTTGAAATCGTGGTCCCTCATAAATTCAAAAAAGACTCACATTAGTCCCTCAAAAGGACTAAAATGAGTCCATTTTGAATTTCTTAGGGACCACGAATAGCCTTTTTATTTGCTAGGGACTAAAGCAGGCATCGTGAAATTTGCTGAGGCCTAAAAAGAGTATTTACTCTTCTTTTTTTGTTTTGTTCATTTCGTTAACTTTCTTGGAGGGAGAAAAAAAGCAATCAGAGTTAGAGGGGTTTCGATAGATATAGGACCTGAGAATATAAAGAAGCTCTATGTAACAGCCCGTTACGTACCGGTAATGTTATCATTGCATATGGTATTAAGCGCAGTTACAATCACAGTAATTGAGTTACTTAAATTACGGGTAAACTTTTTCCTTTCTTACATTCTTTGCTTTAAACATTAACCATTTCCGTAATCAATTAAAACAACGCAATAATTGTAAATGCAAAGCTCGCGGAAACATAAAACATACCAAATATAATCTCTCTAAGCAATACCATTTATTTTAGAGTTTATAAAAACACATTTTCAAAATTTACACTGTGGTAATCGATTACCACCTTGAGGTAATCGATTACCAAAGGTTACTGTAGAAGTCAGAACCTCAAATTGGGCTCCCCTGTTTTCTGGTAATCGATTACCAGAGATTGGTAATCGATTACTGAACTAGGTAATCGATTACCAATGCTCTGGTAATCGATTACTTTGAGGACAGAAGCTCAATTTTTCGTCCCCTGTTGCAGGTAATCGATTATCAGTGAAAAGTAATCGATTACTATGCAGTAAAAATGACAGATGACAGCTTTTTAGACCCAAAATGAGTGGTGTAACATACTCCTAACACCTTGATACTTATTATACACTTTACACATGTCCTAATGTAGGCTCTAAGCCCTTCCATCATGCATATTCATTAACCAATGCATCATTACAACCATTTGCAATATCATGGCCATTTTACACAACCAATAGTTTATTTACAACTCAAGTCCTCCAATGCCTCAAAATACTATTATGTGGCCATGGACAAGTCCCATGCTCACCCAAATACAAAAATAACAAGAGGTATAACTATACATCAATCTGAAAGAACTTAACATATGGTCATAAATATATAAGAGCATGGCAATATCCACATGCAACAAGTTCATAACCTAAGTCCAAAATATTAAATACTATGCTATGTACATCAAATGGAATCCTTCAATATGTCATACTCTCCAAATGCACCTCACGCTCTACTCCTCCACTACACGGGCCTCTTGCCCGGAGATCCACCATGCTCAGCAAGACCTGAAATGATGTCCCCAAACGCGGGGTGAGATATACAAATATATCTCAGTAAACCAAGGGTACTAGAGGATCACTCCACCCCATGTCTCACTCAATGTGCATACAATGATCATATATCACACAACAACAACTGGGCACAAATCCAAGGACATCCACATCAGGATTCCCTTAAAGGACCCCATCATATAACTCCCGGAATCTTCCTAGTGCCTCTCCCATGATTGAGACGACCCCATGGCAAAATCCAACTGGAACTCCTCATGAGCCCTATCCAGCGGAAGTCCCACGTTTGGATCATCCTGGTACCGCTCCCAGAGTCGGCCCCACGACAACAACCAGACCGGAATCCCCAAAGGATATCTCCAGCGGAAGTCCAAACCAACACACATCTACTGGCCAGAGATCACAATTATATCACACAACATGCTCCAAGCATGTCACACAATCATGTCAATAATGCATGAACATACATTTACATATAATCAAAGGCATCAAATCAAACCACGACCTTCCACTAGGTGTGGTGGAACACACGAGGGAATAAAACCCAAGTTCCAAAGGTTTACCTCATTCCGAAGCCAATGCTCCTCAACGTAAGCTCCAAGCTTGATTCTCCTCTATTGAGTCCGAGAGAGGAAACCTATAATGATCAATCAACATGATCATCAACACAATTTCAAGACAACCAATTCACTTTTAAATACAATAATTCTCAACAAAACAACTTAGGCCTAATGGCCAACTACGTTTAATCCAATTACTTCAACCATTTTAGTCACTAAACTAAATCATCATTTATGCACTAAGGCATCACTCATTGGTTATACCACCTTTTCACATCATTTTCCTTATTTCCTTCAATATGGTTAAAATCTCACACACACAACACATCCAACATTCCTCCTTTCAATTTCACTACATCAAACCAACCTACCATTCATTTAAACACCAATCACGATCATATAACATCAACCATATCATTTTTACATCATCTAACCATCGATGACCTCAATAGGTCGAATTCTTCATTCCCATCAACCTAGGGGTATTCAATCCAATTCCACACTCACACTCATCATATAATCGTATTATTTACACATTACCAACCATCAATTGTACACATTTTTCACCTCCATAATTTCTTCCAACCATTACATGGTTCGAATTCCTCACTAGATGGTACTCCCAAGGTTTTTCATCCATTCTAACAATTATTCACTTCATATAATCCTACCATTTATACATACCAACCAACAATCAACAATTTTCAACCAATACATTCATGATCACAACCCACATTTTCATCAATTTTCACTAAGTTACAAAATCCAATATTACTATAAATTTTATTGCATAAATCATCACTATACATCATCACAAGCAATAAATTAAAAAGGGACAACACCATTAAAGGTTCCAAACTACCCCCATTCATCATACATCATCAAAAC